TGCTGATCCCCGTCTCCCAGGCTGATTCAGGGTTTGGGGCTGACCCGGGACTGTTCCCCTCCTGCCTGCCTGGGCCATCCCAGGGCCCCTAACAGAGCCTTTCTCCCCCTGCAGGGAGCAAACACAGTGGGCCTTGGGTGAGTGAATTCTACACAACTGGCCAAGCATGATGAATGGCCACACCTCTCCTCCTCTTGATGTCCTGGCCACCAACGGCACTGAGCTGACCACCGTCCCCGAGACCATGAAGGCCATGCTGCGAACCAGCACCCTCTCTGGGCCCCAATCCAAGAGCATCGCTGGGGTATACGTGGAGGCCTCCTGCCAGGCTCAGAGTCTCTACACTGCCATGAAGCAGGGCCTCCTGTCCGGTGAGCTTGGGCTGGCTCTGCTGGAGGCCCAGGCCGCCACTGGGGGCCTTGTAGACCCCACGCAGGGCCACTTCCTCTCTGTGTCTGAGGCCGTGCGGCAGGGCCTGGTAGGCCTGGAGCTAAAGGAGAGGCTCCTGGCTGCTGAGCGGGCCGTCACTGGGTACCCCGATCCCTACGGTGGCGGGAGGCTGGCACTCTTCCAGGCCATCAGGAAGGAGGTGCTGGAGCGAGCACTGGGGTGCAGCTGGCTAGAGGCCCAGCTGGCCACTGGGGGCCTGGTAGATCCCATTCGGGGTGTGCGAGTGGCCCCAGAGCTGGCCTGCCAGCAGGGCCTCCTAGACCAGGAGACGTGGCGTGGCCTGGCAGAGGGCAAGCCCAGCTCCGGTGCCCGTGGCTTCCTGAACCCCAACACGGGGGAGTGGCTGTCCTACCGCAGGCTGCTGGGCAAGTGCGTGAGAGACCCCAGTACAGGGCTGGCTCTGCTGCCCCTCAAGACCACTTTCCAGACCCTGAGTGGGGCAGTGAGCTTGGCAGAGCTGCTGGAGGTGGGGGTCCTGGATGGGGAGACCGCCCGGGGCCTTCAGGAGGGCAAGCTGGTGGCGTCAGATGTAAGCAGATGGGCCTCTGTGAAGCGCTACCTTCAGGGCACGGGTGGCGTGGCAGGGGTTGTCCTGCTGCCCGCGGGCCACAAGAAGAGCTTCTTCCAGGCCATCACTGAGCACCTGCTCCCGATGGGCACGGCACTCCCGCTCCTGGAGGCTCAGGCTGCCACCTGCACGCTGGTGGACCCAGCCACTGGCCGGCGGCTAATGGTGGATGAGGCCGTCAGGTCAGGCCTGCTCGGCCCAGAGCTCCACAGGCAGCTGCTGGTGGCTGAGCAGGCGGTGACGGGGTATGATGACCCCTTCAGCAGCGGGCGAGTCTCCCTCTTCCAGGCCATGAAGAAGGAGCTGGTAGACAGGCCTCTGGCACTGCGACTCCTGGATGCCCAGCTGGCCACAGGTGGTCCAGTGTGTCCAGCCCGCAGGCTCCGGCTGCCCCTGGAGGCCGCTCTGCGCCTCGGATGCCTGGACGAAGAGACGTGGCAGTGTATCTCCCGGGCCACTGGCTTCTCGGACCCCAGCACACGGGGGAGCCTTGGCTATGGGCAGCTGATGGCCCGCTGTGTCACCGATCCAGAGACAGGGCTGGCCTTCCTTCCTCTCTCAGACGGGGCCCTCGGAGGGGAGCCACAAGGACCCCCATTCATTGACCACAGCACCCGGCAGGCCTTAAGTGAGGCCACGGCCACCATCTCCGTGGGCAAGTTCCAGGGCCGGCCCGCGTCACTCTGGGAGCTGCTCTTCTCCGAGCCCATCTCCACAGAGCAGAGGGCAGCACTGGCCCAGCAGCACCAGGAAGGCACCATCTCGTTGGAGGAACTGGCGGCGGTGCTGAGGGCCACCCTGGAGCAGGCTGCAGCCACGGCCAGGACCACCTTTGCTGGGCTCAGGGGGCCCGTGACGCCAGATGAGCTGTTGAAAGCAGGGATCATTGACCAGGACGTGTACGAGCAGCTGAAGCGAGGACAAACCACAGCCCAGGAAGTGGGCAGGCTGGACTCGGTCCAGAGGTACCTGCAGGGCACTGGCTGCATCGCGGGCGTGCTGCTGACCGGCTCCCGGGAGCGGCTCAGTATCTACGAGGCTCGCGGGAAGGGGCTTCTCAGGCACGGCACAGCACTCATCCTCCTGGAGGCCCAGGTGGCCACGGGCTTCATCCTTAACCCAAAGGAAAACAAGACATACTCTGTAGAGGAGGCACTGAGGGCCGGCCTCATTGGGCCTGATGTGTTTGCAAAGCTGCTGTCAGCCGAGCGCGCCGTCACCGGCTACACGGACCCCTACACCGGGCGGCCGATCTCCCTCTTCCAGGCCATGAAGAAGGAGCTCATCGTCCGCGACCACGGCATCCGCCTGCTGGAGGCCCAGATCGCCACGGGC